CCTAAGGATTAACTTTTTTTTCCCCCTCACCCAGGGACTTTTTTTTTTTGGTACGTGCCCCTAGTGGGAACCGAACCTGGGACTCTCTGGTCCACAGGCCAACGCTCCAACCGCTGAGCCAAACCAGCCAGGGTGACTTTTTTTTTTTTTACATTTATATTCAGGTAGAGTAGGAGGGAGAGAGAGAGAAACATCAATGTGAGAGAGACACATTGACTGGTTGTCACCCACACGACCCCAACTGGGGCTGGGGACAAACTGCAACCAAGGTATGTACCCTTAGTGGGAACTGAACCCGGGTCTCTTTGGTCCGCAGGCCAATGCTCTAACCGCTGAGCCAAACCAGCCAGGGCTAAATATTAGCTTTTAAATAAATCTTTCTAGTTGGAAGAAGATCCCTGCTAATATAACTTCAGAAACAACCCTGCTTCTCAGGAAAAGTTTAAGGAAGTCAATGTAACTGATCTCAAGCTAAGTTGATAAATAAACATACTACATCAGTAAGAAATCTGCTCTGTGCTTTAAAATATCCGTAATAATTAGTCTTTCCAGCTCCATTTCACAACCCCAAAACCTCAGAGTCATCTGTAGTCCTGGAGTTTTCTCTGTGCTTCATATGAGTATGTCTAGAATCCAACCACTTCTTGCCAGCCTACCATTTGATACCATAATCCAAGCTACCATCACCCCAGGTCTGGTGTTTTGTAATTGCAATAACATCTTGCTGATGTCCCTGATTCTTATTTTTCCCCCTATAGTCTACAAAATAATTATTCAACAACCAGAATAATCCTTTAAAAATGTAAATCTGCTCATGTTAGCCCTGTTCAAAACCTTCTAATGCCCTGGCCAGTTGGGTTCAGTGGTTGAGTGTCGGCCTGCGGACCAGAGAGTCCTAGGTTTGGTTCCCGCTAGGGGCACGTACCACCAGTAAAAACAAAACAAAACAAAAACCTAATGGCTTCTCATCACATTCAAAATAAAAGACAGTCTGCCTGCCCTGGCCGGTTTGGCTCAGCGGTTAGAGCGTCGGCCTGCGATCCTGAGAGACCCGGGTTCGGTTTCCGCTAAGGGCATGTACCTCGGTTGCAGTTTGTCCCCGGCCCTGGTTGGTCGTGCGGGTGGCAGCCACTTGATGTGTTCCTTTCACATCGATGTTTCTCTCTCTCTCTCTGTTCCTCTCTCTCCCTCCCACTCTACCTGAACAAAAAATGGAAAAATGTCCTCGGGTGAGGATAAAAAAAAAAAAAAAAAGACAGTCTGCCTGATCTGGTTACTGCCTCTTCCCCTTCCTCGAACCTCATTTTCCCACTCGGGAGCTTTGCACATGCTACTCTTTCTGCTAATTGGCCCTAGGAAAGCTGCATCACTGCTTAGAGCCTCTGTCTACATCTGCGAATGAGGATAAGCAGTTCCTCTTCCCTTTCCCACCTCACAAGGTTATTGAGAGCTTTGGATGTGTTCACTGTTGGTTCTTGTTATTGTCTTACATGGTGCTGGGAATGGCTGGGATTTGTTTTGTTTCCCCCCCATTGGGGTTTGTTCGGGTTGGGGGAGGATTAAGGAGAACCAGTAGAAATCTTTGCCCAGTGCTTTGTGTTAATGTAATGGTTGGAGGGAAAAGAGAATGGAGTCTGGAAACTTGGTGCCTGGAAGTGGCCTTCTGCAGCTACCCGGGACCACATCTGATTGTCATGCAGGGGAAGCAGCTAAGGCGGGAATTGCTGGGGAGCTGAAGTGGCGGCCTGGGGAAACCTGACAGCTCCGGGGTTTTCTGTGCTTTTGTGTCAAAGCAGAATTTTGTGGCCTCTGTGCAGGTCAGATCCCAGTAAAAGAAAATCCGGTGGTCTATTAAATCTTTTGAATTCTAGTATTGTATAGGATATTGACTTGAAAAAAGATCACCAGACAGAAATAAAAATTTGAAGTCTTAGGTGTGACTTTTTGTGTCATCTAATGTTCTTAACATTTACTAGGCTAATCCAAATAATCTGTTTCTTGTGACTCCTATGCCATTTTATGCCAGTTGTTTGTAACGTATGGAGACTTGAAGAAGGGAGTAACCAAGTTAGAATGAGGGAAATGATATTTGCAAATGTCCGTGTGTACAGTACTTGTGTGTCAAGTGTCGTTAAGAAGAAGAAAGGCAAGTAAAATACTAATCCTTCAAGAGAGAGATTCTGTTCATGTTTATGACTGTGTCATAACTGGGCAAGGCCCATTTTGAATATTTATTTATGGGTGTGATTTAATATACTTAATGTCCTATTGTATTGTTGAGAAGTTGTGTGTTGATAAGTTGATCTATCATTGTTTCACAACCGGTTATACTTTTTTTTAATCCTCACCCAAGGACACTTTTGCATTTATCTTCAGATAGAGCAAGAGGGAGAGAGGGAGGAAGAGAGAGAGAGAGAAACATCGATGTGAGAGAGACACACTGACCAGTTGCCACCCATACTACCCCAATTGGGGCCGGGGACAAACTGCAACCAAGGTACGTGCCCTTAGTGGGAACCGAACCCAGGTCTCTCTGGACCGCGGGCCAATGCTCTAACTGCTGACTAAACCGGCCAGGGCATGACCGGTTATACTTTTAGCCTTGTGTTCAATTCTTTTGTAAGGAAAATTCTTTTGTGAGTTAGAACATATATATTTTTTAGATTTTTATTGATTTGAGAGAGAGAGATCAATTTTTGTTGTTCCACTTATTTATGCATTCTTTGGTTGACCCTTCTTTGTATGTGCCCTGATCGAGCATTTAACCTTCAACCCTGGCATATCAGGGCGATGCTCTAACCAAGTGAGCTACCTGGCCAGGGCTAGAATATAACTGGTAAGTTGATATTAAATTTGGAGTGGGATTTATTATCATCCTGTTTTATGTGGATACCTTGTGATGATTGTACTATGGTAGGTTGAGCGGGTGTGAGCTCAAGTTTCTTCCTACAATTTTTTTTTTGTTGTTGTTATTTTTTATCCTCACCCAAGGACATTTTTCCGTTCAGATAGAGTGGGAGGGAGAAAGAGGAAGAGAGAAAGAGAGAAACATCGATGTGAAAGGGACACATCGAGTGGCCGCCACCCGCACGACCAACCAGGGCCGGGGACAAACTGCAACCAAGGTACGCGCCCTTAACGGGAACCGAACCCAGGTCTCTCTGGACCGCAGGCCGACACTCTAACCGCTGAGCCAAACAGGCCAGGGCCAAAATTTTTTCATATAGCACTTGGTGACTGGAAATGATGAAAAAGATGAGGATTAGCAGCCTTCTAGAAGTGTTGGGGCAAGTTTTCATTTGTTCCCTGTATGATTTTGAATGCCATCAACTAATATGTTTTAAACTAACTCTCCGCATACCGCATGGTCCATTCAGTGTCAGTTGGAGTTAGACAAGATCTATTTCTACTTGAAGCCTGGAAAATTGATGGGCAGTACATAGTATGTATTATGCCAGACAATGGCTATTCAGTGTAGGTGTTTTTGTTTTTTAATGTTTTTATTGATTTTTTTTTTAGAGGGAAGGAGAAAGAGAAACATCAATGTGAAAAAAAAACACCAATAAGCTGCCTCCTGCATGCCCCCTACTGGGGATTGAGCCCACAACCTGGGTGTGTGCTCTGATCAGGAATCGAACCGGGACCTCTCAGTTCATGGGATGGTGTTTTTCATTTAAAAGAGAAATACATCTAGCCCTGGCCAATGTGGTTCCATTGATTAGAAGAGTGTCCTAGCCCTGGCCGGTTTGGCTCAGCGGTTAGAGCGTCGGCCTGCGGTACAGAGAGACCCGGGTTCAGTTCCCGCTAAGGGCATGTACCTCAGTTGCAGTTTCTCCCCGGCCCTGGTCGGTCGTGCGGGTGGCAACCACTCGATGTGTTCCTTCACATCGATGTTTCTCTCTCTCTCTCTTCCTCTCTCTCCCTTCCACTCTGTCTGAACAAAAAATGTCCTCGGGTGAGGATAAAAAAAAAAAAAGAAGAAGAGTGTCCTATACACCATAAGGTAGAAGGTTCTATTCCCAGTCAGGGCACATACCCAGGTTGTGGGTTTGATCCCATCGGGCCACATGTGGGAGGCAACTGATCGATGTTTCTATATCTCTTTCTCCCCTCCCCCCCTTCCTCTATCTAAAATCAATGAAGAATTTTTGAGCCCTGGCTGGTTTGGCTCAGCAGTTAGAATGTCCACCCGTGGACCCGAGAGACCCAAGTTCAGTTCCCACTAAGGGCACATGGCTCCGTTGCAGTTTGTCCCCAGCCCTGGTTGGGGTATTGTGGATGTGTCTCTCTCACATTGATGTTTCTCTCTCTCTCTTCCTCCCTCTCTCCCTCCCACTCTATCTGAATGCAAAAAAAATGCAAAAAAAAAAAATGTGTCCTCAGGTGAGGATAAAAAAAAAAGAATTTTCCCCCCATGTTTGTAGCAGCACTATTTATAATAGCTAAGACTGGAAACAGCCCAAGTGTCCATCAGTAGACGAATGGATAAAAAAGCAGTGGTACATATACACAGTGGAGTACTATGCAGCTGTAAGAAAGGTCTCTTATCCTTTGAGACGACATGGAGGGACCTGGAAAGTATTATCCTAAGCGAAACAAGGCAAACAGAGAAAGACAAGTATCATATGATCTCACTTATTTGTGGAATATAATGAACATAACAGTCTGAGGAATGGGGTAGTCCCAGAGACACGGAAGTGGGGTACAGACTGACAGTCCCCAGAAGAAGGGGTAGTGGGGGAGAGATAAACCACAGAACTTATGCATGCATGCATGAACAATGGACTTGGACAACAAAGCTGGGGACAGGGCAGGGAGGGAGGGGGAGAGGGGAATCAGTGGGGGGAAAAGAAGAAACATCTATAACAAAAATAAATTAATTGATTAAATTTAAAAAAAGAGTTTTTGAAAAGAGAGAAAGAAATACATCTAATAATCCATCCTCATTGTAGTTTGTGCTTGAAACATTGTGTTAAATCCAACCTTTCCTTTTTCTCTAGGCAAATAAGGGAGCGACTGAAGAACCAGGTCACTCAGATGAAGAACCAAGTACCTGGTTTCACACCAGGCCTGGCAATATTACAGGTATTATGGTAGTGCATTTCCACTAATCTCCTTACTCTCTCAGGAGCACTTAAGACAACAAGAACTTCGGTTTCTCCCCATTTTTTATTTTATTTTTAGGAGGGCTTCTGTGAAACCTCAGATCTTTGCAGTTTCTCCTTCAGTTCAACTTCTAAATGTTGGTGTATCCTGGCCCTCTGCTATTCTCTGTAGGTACTCTTACCCTAGTCCATTGTCTCTTGAAATTTGGTGTTAGGATCCCTGTATGCTTTTAAAAATTAAAGACCTTAAGGAGCTTTTGTTTATATGGATTTATTCATTGATATTTACTATATTAGAAATTAAAACCAAGAAGCTTAAAAACATGTATACATGTAAAAATGCCAATAGCAAGATCATTATATGTTAGCATAAGTAACATTTTAATGAGAAAATGACTTTTTTCTTCTCTTTATTGATTTTAAAGAGAGAGGAAGGGAGAGGGAGAGAGAGATAGAAACATCAACGAGAGAGAACATTGATTGGCCGCCTCCTGTACGTCGCCTACCGGTGTTTGAGCCCACAACCCAGGCATGTGCTTTGCTCAGGAATTGAACTAGTGACCTTTGGGTGTATGGGATGATGCCCAGCCAACTGAGCCACACCAGCCAAGGCATAGGCATAATTTTGATTCATTCACACTGGATAGATATTGTTGTGTTGGCTGTTGTCATCTTTTTATTTGCCAATTTAAGGGAAAAGAGGTCAGTATGCCTGACTAAATAAGCAGCGCATGTTTTAAAAATTCTTGTGGCACACCAGTTGAAAATCACTGCCCTCTATCACCTCACACCTGTCAGAATGGCTGCCATCAGCAAAGCATCAAACAAGTGTTGGCAAGGGTGTGGAGAAAAGGGGACTCTCTACACTGCTGGTGGGAATGCAGACTGGTGCAGCCACTATGGAAAACACTATGGTGTTACCTCAAAAAATTAAAAGTTGAATTGCATTTGGCCCAGTGATCCCACTTCTAGGAATATACCCTAAGAAGCCTGAAACACCAATCAGAAAGAATATATGTACCCCCATGTTAATAGCAGCACTATTTATAATAGCTAAGATCTGGAAACAGCCCAAGTGTCCATCAGTAGATGAATGGATAAAAAAGCAGTGGTACATATACACAGTGGAGTACTATGCAGCTGTAAGAAAGATCTCTCATCCTTTGAGATGACATGGAGGGATCTGGAAAGTATTACAAGCCAAGTAAAACAAGTAAACAAGTAAGTAAAACAAGCCAAGCAGAGAAAGACAAATATCACATGATCTCACTTATTTGTGGAACATAATGAACAGAGCAGTCTGAAGAACAGGGTAGTCCCAGAGACGTGGAAGTAGGGTATAGACCGACAATTCCCAGAAGAGGATGTGGGGGGCGGGGGGAGATAAACCACAGAACTTAAATGCATGTACACATAACCAATGGACATGGACAACAAAGCTGGGGATGGGGCGAGGGGGGAGGAGGGTGTCAATGGGGGGGGGAGGAGAAACATTTGTACAAAAATAAATAAATCACCTCCCTAGGCAATTTCATCTTGCCCTAAGTATTACCTGTAGGCCAGTAACTTATACACCCTGGATCTCTTCTGAGTTCTGGACTCTGGGTTTCTGGGACATCACTTGTTTCCCTTCCTTCTCTAATCTTTTTTGCTTGTTTCTTATCTCTCGGAGGAATAGGGATCTCCCTGTTTCTTCATCTCACCTAAGTGAGCTCGCTTCATCTCATAGCTACATGGGAGAATACATCCTATTTTAGGCCTCTTCCCTGAACTTCGGATTCATCCACTAGGAGGCCTTCAATAAAGTGGTAGGAGGTATTCAATGCATATTTGTCGTATGGACAAATGTACAAAGAATGTTTTGAAGGGTTGATTTGGATGACAGGAAACTAATAGCTTTCATTTGAAATTCCCTTCAAAATTACCTGCTTCCTGGCCCTGGCCCTGGCCCTGGCCCTGGCTGGGTAGCTCAGTTGGTTAGAGTGTCTGCCTGATACACCAAGGTTGTGGGTTCAAACTCTGGTCAGGGCACATACAAGAATCAACCAATGAATGCATTAATAAGTGAAACAACAAATCGATGTTTCTCTCTCTCTCTCGCTAAAGAATATCAATAAAAAAAAAACTTGCTTCCTCACTTCACATTTTTCTCTGTATGTATGTCTCCACTTACATAATTTAATTCCTTGCTAAGTTTCTGTCCTATGTTCATCAAGAATTTCAGAGTGAATAGTACTTAAATATTTCTCTCCATTTCTGTTCATTATCTTCAGAGGACTTTGCTGTGGGAAAAAAAAACACACACACACAGAAGGCCTGTCGTTCTGCCTGGTGTATTTTCTCCTGTGGTGGGTTTATCCTTTTTTTCAAATTACTAAGAATCAAAGGTATATGTTGTTGGTGTACACTTGGTACTTGTGGGGGAACAGTTATTTCTTGGCTCATGCTTGTGAATTGTTTGTTGTAGAAAGAGTAAAAGTCATAGACAAGAAATCTGTTTCTTTAACCCTTTCCTTAGTGATAATGTTCCCCCCATCCCCAGTTTTAAAGATTGATTTCTAAACTCGTATTTTTAAATGTTTTGATTGCATGTGTTTTTGTTACATGAAGTTTTCTACAGCTTTGTCTCCTATGTCTTTGCCAGTAAAACAGTGGTAAAATATTGTAACCTTGCACTTTAGCACCACAGCCAACATCTTTCCCTGGTGTAAGGCTTACAGGAGTTATGTTGTAATTGTTGACTTAGACAAATAGAGGGCTACTTCTCCAGCAAAGTGGGTTTATTCAGGAACAACAAACCATTGTAATTCAGGACATGCAGTCAGAAGGTGAACCAGGAGCAAGTCCAGAGAAACAAAGCAGAAAGGAGGCTCTTTTATGGACTTGGGAGGGAGGGGCTGCTGTACAGGGAGGAGGGTCAGGGTGTAGTAGTGACTTTTCATTGGCTGAGCTGTTGCTGGACAAGGAGGAACCTTTTCTTCCCTCTGAGGTAGTCAAGTAATATCACTTCCTGTGGGAGCTGCAAGGCCTGTCTCTTCCTGTAGGGGTCAGTAGTGTGCTTTGAGTGACATGGCTGAGGGGTCTCTTTTCTGGCCTCCCAAATCCATTTTATTAATTTTCACATAATCACATCTCTGCTGCCTTGGACCTCTCCTTTTTTCCTTCCTGGTGACCTGGCACCACTATCTACCTGCACACTCAAACCAGAAACCTGAGATCACCTCCAAGATTGCCCTCACTCTCCTCATCCCCTTAGGGACTATGGGACTATTGAGTCTGCCTCTCATAAGCTCTTGGAATCTATTCCTGACTTTTTTTTGAGAGAGAGAAATATCCATCAGCTGTCTCCCACATAGGGGATCGAGCCCGAAACCTGGTCATGTGCCCTGACCAGGAATCAAACCAGCAACCTTTTGGTGCATGGGACAGTGCCCAGCCAACTGAGCCACACTGGCCAGGGCAAAATACTTTAACTATTAGTAAGAGCCAACATATGCTTTCTACCAGAAACTGTTCTGAGTGCTTTGCATAAGGCAGCTCATTCTTTCTGCTCTTGTAGCAGAAAGAAAAAATGAATAGACCAATACCCAACTTGTATTATGCTATAAAACAGGGATCTGTAAACTGTGGCCCATATTCAAATGCTGCCTAGGTTATAAAGGGTTAAGAAGAAGACAGAGTACATGGCCTGAAAAACTATACCGTCTGGCTCCTTACAGAAACACTTTGCTGACTCCTGGCATTAAAAAAAATGTTTCTAACTTGTTCTGGGAAAGGACCTTTTTGAATGATGTAATTCACCTCCTAGAAAGAAATTAGTATTCTGATAAAATGCTTAAGTGGTTTTCTTGATTTAAGATTTGTTCTGGGAAACCAGTCTTCTACCCACCCACTTGACTGTCAGTCATGGATATACTGTTCTTCAACTAAACATTTTTTGTGCTTTTTGACTTGCAATGATTGTATAACCATTTTCCTCTGTAAAGCACCTGTCCAGAGAGTGAGTCTTTGAATTAGCTCCTCAGAGGTCTTTTCCTTTGCATTAGGGTTACAATGAAACTTTGACATATGCTCATAACTGTGACTATTAAGGTTTCTTTTTATTTATTTTTAATTTTTTAGCAATTTATTTTTGTTACAGATGTTTCTCCTTTTTCCCCCATTGACACCCTCCTTCCAAGCCCCTCCCCCAATCCCTAGTATTGTTCTCTATGTTCATGTTACACATACATGCATATAAGTTCAGGGGTTTATCTCTCCCTGCCCCCCTTCTGAAGTTTGTCAGTCTGTACCCTACTTCTATGTCTCTGGGTCTGTTTTGTTCATCAGCTGTTTTCTTCATTATATTCCACAAATAAGTGAGATCATGTGGTATTTGTCTTTCTCTGATTGGCTTGTTTGGCTTAGGATAATACTCTCCAGGTCCCTCCATGTTGTCTGAAGGATAAGAGATCTTTCTTACAGCTGCATAGTTTTCCATTGTGTATATGTACCACTGCTTTTTTATCCACTCATCTACTGGTGGACACTCGGGCTGTTTCAACATCTTAGTGGTTGTAAATAGTGCTGCTGTGAACATAGGGGTACATATATTCTTTCTGATTGGTATTTCAGGCTTCTTAGGGTATATTCCTAGAAGTGGGATTACTGGATCAAATGACAGTTCAATATTTAACTTTCTTTTTAGAACTGGTGGCAGGCCCAGCCAGTGTGGCTCAGTGGTTGAGTGTCAACCCGTGCACCAAGAGGTCACTGGTTCAATTCCTGGTTGGGGCACATGCCCAGGTTGTGGGCCCAATCTCTAGTGGGGGGCATGCAGGAGGCAGCCAATCAATGTTCTCTCTCATTGATGGTTCTATCTCTATCTCCCTCTCACTTCCTCTCTCTCTAAAATCAATAAAGAAAAAAAAATTTTTAATAAAATAAAAACCGGTGGTAGTTTGGGAGTTTTAGAAAAAAATCTTTCTGAAACATTTAGACAGAAAACAGTTCCTGTAAAGGAACAATAGCAAAAGACTTCAGGCCAGACACTAGATGTGGATGACTACGTCTCTGAAGGAAAGTGTTGTGAGTCCTTATTCAGTTAAGTGGGTCCTTATTCAGTTAAGTTGGTCCTTCAAGCAGAAAAATATTTTCAGATACACAGAGACTCAGAAAAATGCCTACATACCTTCCATGGAAAACTGACTTACAGTTGCATGTCAGCTACCTGAGAGATGAATGAAAATAAACTGTAGAAGAGAGAAATTATAAAAGTTTTGTTGTTGTTAATCCTTACCTGAGGATATTTTTCCATTGATATTTTTAGATAGAGTGGAAGGGAGGGAGGGGAAGAGAGAGGGAAACATTGATGTGAGAGAGACACATTGATTGGTTGCCTCTCGCATGACCCCAACCAGGGATCGATCCTGCAACCCAGGTACATGCCCTTGACCAGGAACTGAACCCTTTGGTCTGCAGACTAATGCTCTAACTGCTGAGCCAAACCAGCCAGGGTGAGAAATGGTAATTTTAAAAGGACTGGCAGTGAGTGATAGACCCATTTAAACTCAATAAACTGAAAAACCATATAAGTCTAAATAACTAATTGTAGTTTTAAATATTAATGAAAATGTAAAAAAACAGTACTCTTGTATTTAGGACCATCATCTTTCCTACCTTGATCTAAAAATCCCAGAGAGCATTGCATCTAGTAAACTGACTCCATGAAGATTGGATGCTAGGGGCAAAGAACACAGAGAAAATGGTCAAAGAAAAACATGACTAAAATTCTAGGGAAGTCCTCACAGGAAGCAACTTAGGTCCAAATAAGCCATTAAAAAATCAAATTTCTTCTGGCCAGTGCGGCTGAGTGGTTGAGTGTCAACCCATGCACCAAGCAGTCGCCGGTTCGATTTCCGGTCAGAACACATGCCCAGGTTGTGGGCCCAGTCGCCAGTGGGGGGCATGCAGGATGCAGCCAGTTGATGTTCTCTCTCATCGATGTTTCAATCTCTCTCTCCCTCTCACTTCCTCTCTGTCTAAAATCAATAAGGGGGTGGGGGGGACAAATGTCCCATCTTTAAAAAAAAAAATCAAATTTCCCTCAACGGACTTATCTTTGAAGTGGTGAAATTCAAATTAGCTTTGGCAAAACAGATCTATATGAAGGACCACTAAAGCCAAGAGTAAGGCCATGTTCTCTGGGTCTTGGGGGAGCTTCCAGTAACGGCATTAACATGACAAGGACTGGAAATGCTGTTAAGAAGGCCAGCTTCTTGCAGTTGTCCTGTTAAAAGGAGCCATGTGACAACATTGAGGGACCTACCATTTTTACCTCTGCAGTTTTGGGAGGAGCCAAGTTTGTAGCACATCACCCTGAGAGTCAGTTTCAACCTTGAAAAAGGACAAGTGTCAATCACTGAAACATGGGGAAATATTTGTAAAATAAAATTTTACAGATAAATGGTTACAGTAAACAATAAATCCATTCGGGATTAAATAAATCGCAGGAACATGATGAGATGTAGCCTGGTGGTTCAGAGGATTTACCCGCCTCTCTGTCGTAGGGGAGCAAGACTGCCCTTTGCCTTGCAAGGGTGTCAGCTCTGCGTAAGCTAGGAGTAGGTCCAGCCTAGCTGGTTTCCCTTTGTGCTGGCATGAGAGCTTCCCACTGCCCCTGGGGGTGGGGGAGAGGGAGCAGAGTGTGCCCTCTGGGTGTTCCTGTCTCAGCTGTGTTTCTCTTGCCCGAAGATAGTTCCTCTAGACAGTTCCTCTCCCTGTTGATCTGGTTTGTCAGCTCAAGGGAGAGCAGAAATTCCACATGTCTCAGGCAGGCCACAGCACCCTTGCCTAATTTCCAAGGCAGATTCTGGCGGCCCCTGGTTTTTCCTTTCTTTTGGCTTTTTCCATGGGAATCAGGTGGGCCTTGTTGAGGGAGGGATTCCTAATCCCACCTGTGTTCACATCGCCATCCTGCCCGACATGCTCCTTGCTCTGTTCAAGTTCTCTGCAACAAGTCTCATGACTAAACATTTCTTTTGTCAAAATTAAAATTTTGGAAGCTTTTCTATACACCTTGCCTTTCCCTAATCATCTGATTTGCATGTATTTATTATTCTAGGTTGGCAACAGAGATGATTCCAATCTTTATATAAATATGAAGCTAAAGGCCGCAGATGAGGTAAAGCCTAGAACGGTGGTGGTGTTGCCTCCACCCCACCCCACCCCGGGTCCTGCTTGTTACCCTTGCCCTTTGTGCCCCTCTCCATAAACACTTTTCTCGCCCACAGCAGACTTCAGTTTATCGATTTTGCAATCAGAAGTGGGCAGTTTAGGGCTGCAACCTCTGGTTTTCCTTTGAATGATCTGCCTACTTCCCAAAGAGCAGGAATAGTAGACATGAAAATGCTTAAGTGCAGTAATGACAATTAACAAGTAAATGATGCATAGGTCAAAATGAGAGACTAAGTCTTTGGAACATAGGGTGAAATGATTACTAACACCTCATGGTTTGTTTTAGTCATAACTGGAAAAGAAATGGGCCCATGTCTCAAGTTCTCTTGCCAAACACCTGTTTTAAATGTTCATTTTTGCAGATTGGAATCAAAGCCACTCACATAAAGTTACCAAGAACGGCCACAGAATCTGAGGTGAGCTTTTAGAAACAGGGTGAAGAGGGCAGCTGAAGGTTTTCCTCTTTGGTTTTTTGGTTTAATGGAACTTTAGGGATTGATTCAGCATATGAGACCTCCAGGCAATTCTTTCTTCGCAAACTGCCTCCAGAAATCTTTTAAAATACCTCCACAGTAAATGGTGCAGCGCTTGGGCATGATTGCAGCACCATTTGTTTCCAAATCACCTGCAGTGTTTAACTGGTCCTTGCCGTGGAATTCCTGCTGCTGAACTTTGGGTGCCTGCTGGGAACAGGACTTCTATAATGACAGATATGTATGGAAAGCTGTGGTCCAAGGCCATTTTTACCAGCTATAAGTGGGGTCTCAGAAGCCAGAAGGAGCACACTGCTCTTCTGAAAATTGAAGGTGCTTATGCTCAAGATGAAACTGAATTCTATCTAGGCAAGGGATGTGCTTATGTGTGCAAAGCAAAGAATAGCACAGTGACACCTGGTGGCAAACCGAACAAAACCAGGGTAAGTGGGGAAAGGTACCGTGCTCATGGAAACGGTGGCATGGTTCATGCTAAATTCCAAAGCAACCTTCCTGCTAAGGCCCTTGGACACAGAATTTGTGTAATGCTGTACCCCTCAAGGATATAAACTTATTGAAAAGTAAATAAATAAACTGGATTTGTTCTCTTGTGTTTTTGTTTAAAAAGACAAAAGTAAACTGATACTTGGCCTATAGTTATATGCATCTTAAAAACCGAATGTGTATTTTACTTATATGATGTTCAAGAATGGGCAGAATAAATCATCTGTGATTAAAGCCAGGACTGTGGTTGTTTGTAGGTAGGGAGATTATAAAAGGGGTGGGAGGGGGTGCTTTCTGAAGACCATGGAAATGTTCTATATCTGCACTGTCCAATAGGGTAGCTACTAGCCCCATGTGACTATTTAATTAAAATGAAATAAAGTTTAAAATTCAGTTCCTTAGGTGAACTAGCCACATTTCAAGTATTCAATAGCCAGTATTATATTGTAAGTTGTAAATTATAGAAGATTTTTGTTACCACCGAAATCTTGGTTTGGATCATGGTAATATGGGTATTACTGTTGAAGTTCTTAGTTCTTTGATGGACTTATCAAGCCCCTGAAGATTACATTCTGTGTTAAAGTAGAGTTGCTCTTAGGGCTCAAGGGGAGGTACATTCTGAGAGGACTACAATTAAACTCTTGAGGGAACATGGGGCAGCCTTTGTTGACTTGGAAAGTGTTTCTCCACCCTTAGATTTCTGTGTGGCTGACAGATTGTATGTGGTATTGTTTTTAGGTGTTAAAGTACATTACTTCTTTGAATGAAGACCTCACCATACATGGGTTACTAGTACAGCTACCTTTAGATTCAGAGAATCCCATAAACACTGAAGCAGTGGTCAATGCTGTTGCCCCTGAAAAGGATGTGGATGGGTGAGTGTGGCTTGACTTTCTGTATCACATTGCATAATTCCAGTTAGAATATATTTCTGTTCTAGGAACACACCATATTGGCTTCTAAAGAGTAAACACACCTAATTTACCTTTATCCCCCCCTTCATTGCTTTCACTGTTTTAGATTGACTGATATCAGTGCTGGAAAACTTGCTAGAGGTGACCTAAATGACTGTTTCATCCCTTGTACACCTAAAGGATGCTTGGAACTCATCAGAGGGACAGGTAAAAACAAAACCCAAAAGCAAAGCACCATTTCTTAGAGCCTGGTCTTGACACGAGGAGGTATAGAGGAGGTACACTGTGAGCCCTATGTAGATGGACTTGATTGGCACAAGTGCCTGTCTGCTAGGGGCTTTACCTAAAGTCTCACTTAATTTTCTCAACAAGCCTATGAAATAGGTACTCTGTTGTTCGAAAGCTGAGAAAACAGACTCAACGAGATTAATTTGTCCAAGAGGCAGCAAAGCCAAGATTTGAACTCAAATAACTTTGAATTCAAAGCAAATTTGTGTGTGTGTGTGTGAAAATAACCCATATAGTAGTAAGAATTAGGATAGTATGTAAGGGTACAAGGTGAAAAGTCCCCACTTCCCCAGTGGGCACCTAGAATTACTGTTCCCACAGGAGTTTTAGGACTAGACAGATGGCTGGAAATGATCTCTTATTTTAATTTCATGACAAACACATCAGCAGAGCCTTTTTTTTTTTTTTTACAAGGAAGTGTGTCCTGTTCAGAGGAAGTAGATAGAAGTTTCAGATGCAAAGTGTTGACCAATGTGAAAAAAAAGTTTCTGTGGTTGGTGAGAAAAGGTCAAGCTGTAAGCTTTGGGACAGCTATTGCTGGTCAGTCCCACAACTAAGTTTATGATCTACAGCATAGTTAGCAGTTTGTTGCAACTTGATAAAAAACAAATCCCGTGAGCCACAGCAGCTGCAGGCTCCCCACTTCCTCTTACCGATAGTGAAGCTGCCATTGCCTTAAAGCAACTTCAAGTCCTTTGCTGAATCCTAAAAAGTATTGTAAGGTACCTTTGAAACACTTCAGACTTTGAGAGCTTTACTTCTATGTGTTATGATGTGTTAGCATTATATAGACGCTTATCTTTTTGGATAAAATTAATGTTTTGCAAGAAGCACAATTTAAGCACAAACTGCCTTAAGCAAGAGTCCGCTTCAGCCATGGCTAGGTGCGGGGGGCTCAGGCGGAGTCTTCAGGACTGTATTTCTGCTTTTTTCTAGCTCATTCTCAGACTCTACTTGGTGGCCCCACACAGCTCCAGCCTTGATTCATCCTTGTGCCTAACAGACATGGGATTGGATCTCACTGGCCAGGGGATAAAATATGGTCACTTGTCTACTATTGGGTACTCACCCAAACCATCTCACTTAAGTAGAGTATGTCGGTCATGAGAAGGACATTGGTATGGTGCTGGAAGAATGGGTGCTGAGTAGGCAAAAAGAAAGCTCTCTGCTACAGTTAAAATTCCCCTTATCACTTCCCAGCAAATAACCCTATGGCTCAGGCCCTAAGCCAAAAGAGAAAGTTAGGTGAGGGACTGCATAAGTAAGCTTACCAAAGTTGGAAAGAATCACCAATACTAATCTCATTTCCCGCCCACCCCTCCACCCCGTTACATGCCCCCTATTTGCCGTCATGTTATTCCCATGTAATTTAATCCGATGTCGTCTTCCATATAGCCATGCGTGTCAGGGTTTCTTATTTTCTTTGAGTGTGGCTTAACTTTCTATATCACATTGCATAATTCCAGTTAGGATATATTTCTGTTTTAGGAACACCATATTGGCTTCTAAAGAGTAAACACACTTTCTTCCCACTCTCCTGTGACTTCATGAATGTATCTTGGCTTAAGCTGCTCTGGAGAACCCACAGTGAGAAAGACACGTGTACAAGGAAGGACCAATTTGTAGCTAAAACTCTAGAGTGGAGAATATTCTTTCCTAAGAAAGAGTTTTTTAGAAGATTCTATTTGATGCTAAGAATGTTTTTGTGCACTTGTTCTGAATTTTCCCACTTAGGTGGCATGCAAAGGAGGGCAGCTCCCCCCAGTTCTCTGATGCACGTTGGCTTTTCTTTCAGGGATACAGATTGCTGGAAGGCACGCCGTGGTGGTCGGGCGCAGTAAAATAGTCGGTGCCCCCATGCATGACTTGCTTCTGTGGAACCATGCCACAGTGACCACCTGCCACTCCAAGACTGCCAATCTGGACAAGGAGGTAAGGGTCCAGAGTGGAGTGGAAGATGATCTGTGTGTCTGTGTGTGTGCATGCACAAGCACGTGTGTGGTGGGTGTTCTCACTTAATGGGAATAACTAACATTTAAGTGCCAGAAACTGCCATGTACTTTAACCTCACTATCATATTTAGCCCCTATAACAATTCCAATTCTTGTCTCATTTTATAAGATGAAGAAACATTCACATAAAAAACTTGCCCATGGTTACACAGACTTTGTTCTGACTGTATTCCTTCTACACCAGTCCCCCATATGGGAGATAGGAATTAGCAGAATAAGAACTGGTATTGACCCCTGGCAGCCAGATCCCAAATTGACGACAATGGTGACCTCAGAGATAAAGGTGCTCCAGGGGGAGATGTGGACAGAAATCTGCTGCAACAGTGCAGTCTCTTAAATGTGGAGAGAGAGCAGGAGCGGCCCAGCACCTTCTCTTGGAATTGTGGTAGTTCCCACATTCTGTAGGGGAGGGAGCGGTCTCTGGATGTTTTGACATTCAGGGACATCACCTGGTAGAATACCTTGTGAAAGGGGAGCTTTTTGGCACACATAGGAATGATCACAGCGGATAAAGAGCTGTCAATGAGTGGCCTACAGAAAATAGCTGATGACAGTGAACATGTCATACAGGGATGAAAGGAATGTCCTTTCCACTTCTAGACTTTTTCTGTTTAATTGTTTCATTTCTGAAATCTTTCCTTAGGTAAATAACGGTGACATCCTGGTGGTTGCAGCTGGTCAGCCTGAAATGGTGAAAGGGGAGTGGATCAAACCTGGGGCAATAGTCATTGACTGTGGAATCAATTATGTCCCAGGTGAGTGTCGCTGGAGGAGGAAGGCGGTCTCTGGTGGAGGGCTGGGCGGAGGAAGATGTCCAGGCCATCAGATGAAGCCCTTGCCCTGTTTTAGGCGTGAAGTGCTGAAGCTCAGCATGATGGGCCTGCCTGTGGGTGCTTGTAGTTAGCAGAAGGCGCAGTTGCCACTGGCAGGCAGTTGGCGTGACGGCAGAACCTGTGGTTTTAGCCACTGTGCTGTGCAGCTCCCCAGATGACTTTGTCCAGAGAAGGGGCAAGAGGGAGCTCTCACTCTGTCTTTATGTCCAGATTACCCTTTCTTTTCACAAAGGATGCATGGATTTAAAATATAGTGTCATCTTTGCAAAGTGCTGTGAGACTTCAGGAGAGGGGCTCATTCTGCCAGGAGACTTCTAGAGGGCTTTACAAAGAAGGCATTCGACCTCCTCTTTCTAGGCAGAGAGGACAAAGCCAGCCTTACAGCCATGTCCTCCCTAATTCAGGCCTCACTGCCCTGTTTTCGTTTAGATCACCAGTCTTCCTTCCGACGCGTCTAGAACCTTTTAGTTTCTCTCCCACTTATTCCCTCTATTGGACTTATGTTTAATTATTAGGATTTTTCTCTCTCCTCTGTACTCAGTGCTACAATTGAGTGTAACCCTCAGCTGGATGGACTACTGTGAGTTTCCTACTCCTCTGACTCCCACTCAGATCCATCTGTGTGCTTTTGCCACCTTCACCTTGATGTGGGCCCATGAGCCTCCCCCTCCCATGGTACTTGTCAGACTCTTTAACCCTGTACTAGTTCCAGCTGCCTCTGCGTCCTCATTGCTCACATGCACGTTGTGAAAACCCGTCCTACATGTGCCCTCCCGCACATGGCTGTCTGTCCTTTGCAGCCTCTACACCTGCATGTTTAGTGGCGCAGGCTGTTCTTTATTCATGAAATTTTCAAACATAAAATTTGAAAGGACAATGCAGCATACACTTATGTACGTACCTGAGATTCAAGAAGGAACAGTCTTTAATTGAGACTGTTTCTCTACATCAAGCACCACCCCAGGCCTTGGGCTACACAAAATTGCATAAGCTCAACCCTGATCTTTACTTTCAACCACTTCCTCCCCACCTCCTCTCTGTCTGAAATGTCCCTTCCTCCTTCCAAACCTTGTCTGATATCACCTCAACAAGGGATGATCTCCCCTTTTGAAAATCCTCTCCCTTCCTCCTTTCCCGTAGAACTTGGTGTTTCTTTTATTTTTATTTATTTATTTATTTATTTATTTGGCAATCAATTATTATTATTATTATTTTTATCTTTATTGTTGAATGTATTACAGATGTTCCTCATTCCCCCCCCATTGACCCCCTCCTCCCCACTCCCGCCCCCCTCCTGACTTTTCCCACTGTTCTCTGTGTCCATTGGTTATGCATATAAGTTCTTTGGTTTATTTCCTCCCACCCCCCAACCCCCTTCTCTTTGAGGTTTGTCAGTCTAGCAACCAATTTGTTCTTATTCACTTCACATTTTTCACCCATTCCCCCCAACTCCCCTCCCATCTGACAACCAATAAAATGTTCTCTGTATCTATGAGAATGTTTCTGTTCTGCCCGTTCATTTTGTTTGTAGATTCCATTGTCAATAGATATGTATTCATTGCCATTTTGTTTGTTCATATTTTTTATCTTTTTCTTCAAAAAGATCCTTCATCATCTCATATAATAACGGTTTGGTGGTGATGAACTCCTTTAGCTTTTTCTTATCTGGGAAAGTCTTTATATGGCCATCGATTCTAAATGACAGCTTTGCAGGATAGAGTAATTTTGGTTGTAGGTTCTTGCTTTTCATCATTCTGAATATTTCTTGCCACTCCCTTCTGGCCTGCAAAGTTTCTTTGGAGAAATCAGCTGACAGTCTTATGGGAACTCCCTTGTAGGTAATTATCTGCTTTTCTCTTGCTGCTTTTAAGATTCTCTTTTTGTCTTGAACCTTTTGCATTTTGATGATGATGTGTCTTGGTGTGGGCCTCTTGGGGTTCATCTTGTTTGGGACTCTCTGTGCTTCCTGGACTTGTATGTCTGTTTCCTTCATCAAGTTAGGGAAGTTTTCTGCCATTATTGTTTCAAAGAGGTTTTCGATTTCTTGTTCTCTCTCTTCTCCTTCTAGCACCCCCTAAGATGCGAATGTTGGCACACTTGAAGTTGTCCCAGAGGCTCCTTACACTATCCTCATTTATTTGGATTCTCTTCTCTTTTTGCTGTTCTGATTGGGTGTTTTTTGCTTCCTTATATTCCAAATCGATGGTTTGCTTCTTGGCTTTACCTTCTTTACTATTGAATCTGTGTAAATTATTCTTTATTTCAGTTAGTGCCTCCTTCATTTCTGACTGTGCTTCCTTCATTTCTGACTGGTCCTTTTTTATGCTCTTGAGGCCCTCACTAAGTTCATTGAGCATCCTTATAAGCAGTATTTTGAACTCAGCATCTGTTAGGTTGCTTAGCTCCATTTCGCTTAGTTCTTTTCTTGGGGTTTTGTTCTGTTCTTTCATTTGGGACCTGTTTCTTTGTCTCCTCATTTTGGCTGCCTCCCTGTGTTTGTTTCTATGTATTACTTAACGAGAGATATGGGGCTAGCTGAGACCAGATGCTGCTTGTTTGAAAGAATTTAGGAAAACCTGAAGCAGGATCCAAGACAGGCCAATCCTATGGTTAAGCAAGTGGCAACAGCTTGGGTGGGCCTGAAAGTTGGGTGGGGCGGGGCCTCAGGGAATCACCAGGGCGGGGCTACCAGTGTGAGCCAGGTTGCTGGAGTCCCAGATATGGCAGCTGTCTGCCATTCCAGGGAAGGGCTCACCAAAGGAACAAAGGCCTCTGACAGCACGTTTGTCCTGGAGAAAGCCTCCTCTCCAGCCCTCGCTCCAGTGCCAAACAGCTCAGTTCTTCCCTGTGTGTCTCTGGCGCCCCTCCAGCTGCCTCCCCTCCAAGCTTAGAGGGAGTGAATCCGATAAGTCCGTGTGCGGGCCCTTTAAGGAGCTGCCTGGGGCTCCAGCCGCCTCAGCCTCCCTGAGCCTCAGTTCCTGCTGGTTTTTCCAGCCAGAAGTTATGGGGACTTCTCTTCCTGGCACTGGAACCCTGAGCTGGGTGCCTGGTGTGGGATGGGGACCCCTCAGTCCTCAGAGAGGACCTTCCCAGCCAAGGTGTCCTCCTGATTTTTATGTGCCACACGTGGGTGTGGGACCAGCATGTTTGCCTCTGTCCCTCCTACCAGTCTTGATGTGACTGCTTCTTTAATTCCGTAGTTGTAGGACTTCCATTCAGCTTGATTTCAGGCGGTTTTGAATGATTGTTTTTCTGTAGTTGTAACTTTGATGTGGTTGTGGGAGGACGCGATACTGCGTTTACCTACGCTGCCATCTTGACCAGAAGTCCTTTTTTTTTTTCTTTTTTGATTTTAGAGAGAGAGGGAGAGAGAGAGAAACATCGATGAGAAGACATCGATTGGCTGTCTCCTGCATGCCCCCCACTGGGGATCGGGCCCACAGCCTGGGCATGTGCCCTGACCAGGAATCGAACCAGCGACCTCTTGGTGCATGGGTTGATGCTCAGCCACTGAGCCACACTGGTGGGGCTGAACTTGGTGTTTCTTTTATCATGTGTCTCATACTTGGCATCCTGTGCTCCCCTCCATTACCAGTCGGCTTCTCAGGGCCGTGGTCTCTGCAGTGCCGCGTCTAGCGTTATGTCCTCTAGCTGCTTGTACTTGCATCTATTGACTTGTTGCAGGAGTTAATCGCAAAAATAATCTCTTTTTCTTCCTTGCCATCACAAGTTTGAAATATAGACACTAAGCTGACGGGAATATTAGTCACTGTCAAGCCTTCACTGTTTTTAACCTGCCTCCCACTCTCCCTACCATGCTTTTAAGACAGTAGCTCTTAATTGAGCACTCATTTTCTTGTAGTGTAATTATCTAATGGGTGATAAAGAAAGTGCTCACCTACAACTCCTCACTTTGAGCACTTGCGGTATGATATTCAGGCTCGTTCTGTTTAAAACCTTGCATCTTCTGTATCATATTTCTGCTTTGGGCATTTTGGGGGAGACTAAATTTGAGGGAGATGAAGAATCACCTGTGTGGGGACCTTGTCTTGCAGATAGATATGAAATGTCAACTTAAACATGAAACCTCCCCTCCTGTTCACATTTATTCCTCATGTAGATGGTAAAATGTGAATACGATCAGTGCACTACCTTCCTGGTCAAATGTATTTTTACTGATCCTGGGCATATAGGTGAATAAATATCAGTAAGGCTGGATTTTATTGTTCCCCAGGATGGCAGAATCGCTGACTTGCCAACCATGGTGAGCTAGAGGACCTAAAGACTGTTCTCTTCATTTTGCAGCACAGCTGAGCACTTCTTGGTTCATATTTTGATTATTTAAATCATTTACATGGAGAAGATGGTGGCGGGCAGGACCAGAGGGAGGGTGAGTGTGTGAGAGAGTGAAGTAGTGTGTGAGAGAGTGTGAGTGGACGTGAAGGTGGACGACCAAACTCATGCAGTGCAGAGCCGCGGAGCAGAAGGTTCCTGTGCTGCGGCTCTTCAGGGCGCTTCTCCCTGTACCGTGGGGAGGTCCCACCATTTTGGAAGATCCAGGTCTTCCCTGGGAGGAGGCAGTGGGAGCAGCAAGGGCCCAGCAACCTGAGCCCACCAGTGCACCTGGCACCAACGGACCAGTGGACACCCTGTGTCAACACAGACCAGTGCACAGTAGCGGAGCTGTCAAGGTGCTGGTTGCAGAAACCGTGAACGGCCGAATGGCAGATCGGCCGGAAGCCCAGCACCATCCCCCACAGTAGCAGCCCGATCAGAATCAAGATATACCCCCAGCAACAGAGGCTGGGGAGCAGACATCCCCAGGCAACAGAAGCCAGACCAGCAGCAGAGAACCATCCCCCAAAATTATAGCAAAGGCTGAGCAGGAGCTGAGCCTCCCTGGGCAGCAGCACTCCCCAGCT